CTCCATGGTGAGCTGTTCTTCTATTTTTTGATGCTTGTTCCAGAGTTTGTTGGAAATGAGTTCAGTTCTTTAGTATTCAGCACCTCACCTCAGAAAGGCGCTAAAGGCTTTTGTGCACAATCTTCTGCATCTCTGCAATACCAGTCTCATTTCTTATCTCTGTGGCTCTCTTCTCATGCGTCCCTTTTCCTGGATTGATCAGGCCACAGTCTTCGTCTCCTATCCATATTCTTGTGTTCTTATCTGTATTATGTGTTCTTCCTGTCCTTAGCCTGTCGTTTACATTTTTTCTTGATCATTTCAGCCCTACCACACTTCATTTTTCTCTTTTGCATCTCTGCTGCTAAGGATGCATTCCTGTGGTGTCCACAACCCCATTGGTTGAATAAAAGCATGTGTGATCATGATCGTCAGGCGTATGTTGAGAGATATTGGGAAAACGTTTTTTTTAGTCTGTTACTTCTTTACAGTCTGAACGAAAATGATAAAAATGGTAAACTAATGGTTTGATATGTGCTGCTGAAAAGCCAATAGTCAACATTATTTATATAGCACATTTAGAAACAAGACATGTTGGCCAACGTACTGCACAAACAAATTCAACCTGAAATCAAATTATTCACCTTATTAGCACATGTACATTGTCATAGTAAACGTAGTTCATTATACTTTTATTTATTTTTTTCTTTACCTGTAACCTTTGATTGAAGTTTAGTGACTTTTGCCTGCCTTGAAGATGTCTGTTTTGATTGCATGCATTGGTGGGTGGGGAAAAATAATACCATCCAGATCCATCACTGAGCTAAATGCTCAGAGACCCTCCTTGATACCCTGTTTCACTCGAAACACATCACAGTATAGAAGGGAAATGTGTTGATTTCTGATTCATGTTACTTTTAAGGCCATTTCCTATGGGAGCTTGTTTGAGAGAGGCACTCTCTGGGCCAGTTGTATGTACGAGCAGAGGTGAAATGCAACATTTGCATACTTAGTAAACCAAACAAACATTTGATTAACTGAGACTGCAGCTTATCATGCAGACTATGCATGACAGTGCAATAACTGCTCGCTCAAGAGGTGCAAGGTTTAAAAGAAGCAGTGAAATAATGGAGCTGTCAACAAGCTTGAGACAAAACAGAAAATGAAAATTCAGTGATGAGATTAGATGTTAATAAATTAAATACTTATCCACCAAATCATTCTATAGGAGTGTTATTTTACTCAGGCTAAGAAAATAGTGTTTGTCAAATAGAGTTTGTTGCAGCCATTTCGCTACATATTTTGCACCACATCTCAGGTATGTATATTTTGTCCTGAGACAGGTATGTATATTTTGTCCTGTGCCTCCATCTAACCACTGCAACACTTAAAGGAAGTCTCTCACCAACACATCATTTGAGAACCTAATGCAAGTTTATGTCTGGTTTTAAAAGGTGACTGCTACGACTTGCTCAAACTTCAGTGAATCGAGCAGAATATGTAAGTAGTCGCACATGTAATATTTTACTCCCATTTTGTATGGCTCTCCCTCAAATTCATATACATAAGGAAAAGTAGCTCATTTTGCATTTTATCATGCAGTGGGCCCATAAACATGAGTTTCATATCGAACACATAAGCAGAATGCATCTGATTTGCATCCGAAAGTGTCACAAATGGCTTTAATACATTGAGCCCTCTGAGCAGCTGTGTGAGTCAGATATATATCTGTTATTTCCAAAGTTAAAAATTCCTGTTAACCGACGTCCTCGTGGAGCTCAAGGGATCTGGTACTGAGACTACAGAGAGCGAGACAGGACAAAACAGGACACACAGATGACTAGATGCTAGAGACCTTAAAATGACTTATCAAGGAAGCTTACAACGGAGAAAAGTAGCATTCAGTGTTTCTCTAATTTCACTTGTTGCTGTTCAACATCCTGCTCAGTCTGCAGTACTCCAGGCCTGCGGCACCTAAAGCGCTAGAGCAATACGCGGCTCCTCATTTCCCTGTATTTGTGCTGGAGCATGGAGTAGGGGCTTAGCTCTAGCTCTACACACATACACACAGGCTCCAAATACAAAATGGCCAGGTCTTTTAATCGCTCCACCACCGCAAAACCTTCCCTTCTCCTTCAGGACGTGGCAGGGCCACATTAGAGCCAGAGTGTGTATAGCAGGAATAACATGGATCACATGCTGGAGGAAACTTCACTGGCAGCTATGGCCAGTCATCTTCTTAGAAAAACTCCCAGAGGAAGTGCACAAGCAAAGAGCTATTCAGCAGCTCCTTCTGTTGCAAGCCAGTAGGATTAATAGGATTTTTTTTTTAATTCAACACTCTAAATCAGATAACTTTTTTTCATCCTGAGGTCTTTGCTAGGACGTATATGTCTTCAATAGTTTGATGATCTTGTAGCAGATACAATATAATTTATGCTATTCTGCCTGTATTAGTGAAGCTTCCGAAAGCCTATGAAATATTATTGAAGGAGATTTGAATGATGATATCAGAAGCATATCGGTATCCGCAGATAGTTGCTTAAACATGTATGAGTTAGCAACAGACTGGTGTTTAGATTTGATCAATATTTTAAACCATTAAATTGATGAAGTATTTGTTGTACTCAGGAAGAGCAGAAAGATTAGGTAACACTGGGTTACTGCGCTAAAATGTTTGCTTTTTATTCATTTTATTACATTTGTAACCCTCATTCAAATAGGTGTTACAATTCTCATAATGCTAAACTATGTGGCCCTAATCCCAGTTTCTCCATTTCATAAGTGTTTATGTATCGGTTTTAGTATAGGCATCGGCAAATACGTACATGAAAAATATCAAGTTTCGGCATGCGCCAGTAATTCCAATATCAGTACCAAGTACAAACATTATAACAAAAGGAGGGCCTGAGATTTAAATATGGGGAGAACCAGAAGAAAGAGAAAATATGAGGGAGAAATGACTGTTCTGAGCCACTCAGCTCTGTGCTGCACAGTCCTTGGCAGCATCCTCCTGCCCCAAACATTTGCAAAAAAAGGGAAAAAAAAGAGGAAGGAAAAAAAATAACAAGCAAAAAAATATTTATTCAGCAGTAATTTTCTGCGGAATTTTTGAGAGATAATTTGAAAAAAGCAGCCCTCATGGCTACAATGGGCTCTTTGAGGGGCTCAGCTTGAGCATTGGGTTTGGACCAGGGCCAGAAGGCCAGGTCTCTTAAATTCAGAGAATAAAGGGGGCCTTTTTAGTGAAAGCTAGAGAGGAGAGAAACAGACATGCACCAACTCAGCTACCTGCCAGGGTCCAATCACAGATCGGCCAGTGTTTCAGGGCATGTTTGGATCTCCTGTGATTGACATGGCAACATAACATATGTTTAACCCTTAGACATTGAGGGTTATTACTGTTGTTTTGGTATGCAATTTAAACGTAATTACACAACAACATGATTAGTTATATAGTCATCATCTAATTACATTTAGATCTTTTCTGTGTTAATGACAAATGCATAAATTTACAAGACTTTAATAAATATCATCTCTATCATCATTTGGTTTTTCTACTCATTGATATAGGTAAGAAATCATTAATTTCAAATTACACAACTTGTCAGAGTTTCTTTTCACCAAAGCTTAAATTATTGTAATCTTAACATATTTAGGAAGGTCAGAAATAAAATAATGTAAGGGATTGTAATAAAAATGCAAGAAGAAAGTGTGGTAAGGCGCAAACTGCATGTTCTGCATGTGTGCATGTTTGAGTTTTTATTATTTGTTTGATATGCTTGTTCTTCTGCTAACAAATGAAAATTATAGTGTTTGCTGGACAGCAGTGGGCTGTTTTATGTGTTTGTGTTGTTAAGCTGAGTTTATACAACAACAGCTTCCAGCTGTTGTACCCATGAGTGTTGTATTCATGCCAGCCCTACAAGAAGACTGTTTGTGTGTTTCTCTCATTATGAAGCTCTTGCTACCTGTAAAATATGTGGGTGGTCAGCCATGAATGCACACATTAACAATCAATATCAGCTTGTTGCATTTGGGTCAATAACAGTAAGTGCAGTAAAATTTGCTTATTAGATTTGAAATAGTCTGTTTTCAGTCACTTTCTCCCATTTGCCTTAAGCTGTCTCCATGAAGGAAAATCTAATACCTTCCTGCCTTTCTCTAAATGTTAAACAGCCTTGTAAAAGTTTGCTCTGGGCGGTGTTTTTGCAGTTGCTGCATGGATGGTAGTGTTCTCTCATGCGGCTCCCCGCCATCTCAGTTTTAAAAGCCCAGCATGACAAAGTTTGTGCTCCCCCAGAAGACTCAGATAGTGAAGGACATTTCTGCTGAGTTTTGTTAGTCCAGTCAATCTCACTGCTAAGAACCTGAATGACAGGTTGAAGGCAGAAGCTAGAGTGTCTTGCTATGCCAAGTTAGATTAACAGGCAAAATGACACTACAAATACAGATGTTCTTTTATAGATTTTTATTGTTATTTATATGCAGTTTTTTAAAAATGATGCTATCTTTCAAATATAAACACTTCCAAATGAACAGAGAACAAAAGAGATTCCCAAAATTAATAGGGAAAAATATAAATGTATATTGAAAATATTCCAAAATATTTTCAATGCTTCATACTGTTCACACATGTTTTCCAGTTAGGATGCTCGCGCTTACAGACCAACCTATCTTTTAAATGGCGTGCCCTTCCTTGTTAAAGCTTAAGACTAAAGGTGCTTTTATAAGCATGGGTATTGCTATTGTCTAAAGTTTAACTGACCTACTGAAAAACAAGTGCTAAAACAGTAAGAGTTCCTCACAGAGGCCAATCAGTACAGCAACTCACTGTCCTGCCCATACCCCTCTCCCTCCCCCAGACCTCCTGTACTTTTTGGGTAGCATGTAGCCTAAAAATATGAAGTATCTGTGTCTTTATATCCTTTACATCCTTTGTATCCATCTTATATTCAATCATTTGAGTATTACGCTCAGTCAAATTGAAAATAGAGAATCGTCCTTGATTTGTTTTTATATTGTTGTTTTTTTTTTTCTTTTTTAATGTGCTGTGTGAACTTGTAACTGCCGTTACATATACTGACTGCATTTGTTTGGCACCTGTTGACTGAAATGGTTTTACTGCTTTATATACCACGTATGTGCAAATTCTCATATGCCATCTTGCATACTCTGACTCTAAGAAATGTTTTGGCTAAGCAGCTAGTTAACAGTACAGCAGCTAATTTTGCCTCTGGGAAAGTATAGTTTACTGTAATACTCACTGCCGTAGCATGGAAAATCTAGAACATAAACACTATCGTTAAAGTTTAAGGCAAAGTTTCTTGGTTTGTTTTATGTATGGTTGTAAAAATTTTATGAACGTACCATTTACAGATGGGGATTTCAGCCAACTGTTTATCTTTTTAATTTCAGTAATCCTGCTTATCTGAAACTCCTTTGTGGGGCATGGGGACTATAGGCTAAAGAATCAAAGGAGGGGGATATAATTTCAACTCAGCACAGACTTTCAGCTACTTAGGCTGTCTGACATTTGCAAAGTAAAGCCTTTGATTGACTTGGTGGTACAAACAATTTTAGTCTTCAAAGATTTTATGCTTTTTTGTCTGCTTCTTTGTCACGAGAGCTGAAAATGGGCCTGACAACAGTCATGTATTTATAGACAACAAACAAAAAACAAAACAGTAATAAAGATACAAAATATACAAATTCGCATACGTGTTGACTTCATGTATCACAGACAAAAGCAACACAAGCATCAGTCTTTAACTGACTGAAGAAGTCCTCATCTTCATTTTCCAATGCAGATATTGGATAGTGTTCACAGCAAGTACAACTCCTCTCGAGTTGCAATAGGTGCTATAAAGCAAAATATTGCCTCAATGGTTCAGGCATTAATGGGAACAACAGTTTTAGTGTGTCTAATGTGAAACTGCATAATGAATCTAGAGTCACAAACAATGTGAAATCTAAATACCTGTTCTTCTGGCAGGCACTTCTGGATCTTGTAAACTCTGACCATATCCATCAGAGGCTTCCCAGTGCAGACTGTGTTATGCTACATAACTGGGGACAAAAGCACATGGTGCTACGACTGAATGTAATTAAGGGGAACCATTTAAAAAAAAAGTAATAACATTGATAACATTGCGGAATTTGGCTCTGGACCTCTAGACTTGCTGGTTGGTCCCCCCATCTAGGCCTTTTTTAACTGAAGAGAGAGTTCATGCTTTAGAATGCAAAGATCTTGAAAAGAGCCCCAAATATCAAAAGTAAGATGGCTTTAAAGTGTTCATGTTGTTGTTGGCAGTGCAGTGATCTTGCATAAGTGGAACCTCATAGTCCAAACCACCATTCTGCACTGCAGATGGAGAGGACATAATCTCCTGCTGCTTTTGGGGCAGGGCCCCAGTGTCCAAACCTGCTTTAACCCCCTCCAGTTCCAGCTGAGAAGGACTACAATCTAAGTCTAGATGTGCCTTTTTCCTGTGCATGTAGCAAGCTACACTAACAGCAACAGCTACTAGCACTAACAGAAGAAGAATAGCCATAGCTGGCACAAGCATTGTTGTCAACTTTGGATCTTCCACTTGTGCGCTAGGGGGCTGGTGACTGGATGTCTGAGCCTCTGTGCACACACTATCTACATCACTGGGCTCACCCAAGGGACTGGCACACACTGAGTATGTGGAATTAGGATGAAGTCCACGCAGAGTGTATTCAGGGTAAGAGGCTGGAATATTCAGTTGCTTGGGACGTTTATCTAATCCTGAGAGGTTTCTGTAAGTTAGCTTGACTCCACGGATGAATGGCCGAACCTCGATGTAGCGATGAAGGTCCAGTAATATAGATGAGCTTGTTACTATTTGTGCAGTGATTTCAGGCACCACAGTGACTGTTGCTGTGGGAACATCCTCAAATAGAGGTGTGTTCTCTCCATTCTCACAATATCTCCCTGACGTCCCACGTGGACAAGTGCACTCAAGGTAACCCTGATTGTCTAGCCAACATGTGCCACCATTTAGGCAGATGTTAGATGGACAAAAACTCGTCCTCAAATCAGGGTCTGTACTGCTACTGGTTGAAGCTGGGACTAGAGGTGGAAGATAACTGTCAGTCTCTGTAGAAGGGTCATCACTGGGTTTGAGAAGGGGAATGATATGTGTTGTACTCTGCAAAGAGGTGATTAGAGAGTGGGCCAGAGTGGTGGTCTTAATCGTGCTGGTAGTGATTGTGGTGGTTGTAGGGCACCCGAAATCATGATGTCCCAGTCTTTGCAACACCTTTCCTGCATTCCGTGGTGGAAAATGACATCGAGTCTCCTCTGTTCTTCCCAACACTATTTCTTGGTTATGTAGCCATCTAGGAAACCAAGCCAACATGCAGAGGCAGTTAAAGGGATTCTCTGCAACAGTAAGTTTTTTCAGATGAGGGAAGAGCTGGGTCATGCTCTCAGGCAAGGTCTGCAGGCTGAGGTTGCTAATATCTAACTCCTGAAGCTCTGTCAGATTCTCAATGTCTTCCCACTTCAAAGGACCCATGGGATTTCCAGCCAAACTGAGTATGACCAACCCTCTTGCTTCCTGCAGCACTGGAGGAAATGTGCTTAGCTGATTGTTAGAAATATCCAGCTCATGGATGTTCTTTAAGCTACTCAGGAATTCTTCGTTCAGGGTGCTCAGCCCCAGCCCAGCCAGTTTCAGTGACTCTAATTTTGGTGTCTGAAGGTCATTTGGTCCTGGTGAAGGAATTTTATTGAATCGCAGGTCTAGCAGGAGCAAATGGGGCATTTTAAGGGCAGGCATTGTGGTCAGTTGGTTTCCCTGTAGCTTTAGCTCAAGTAGCTGCTCCAGACCATCAAAAGCTGCAGGGTGGATACTTTTTATGGCATTGTTATAAAGATACAGCCTCTCTAGCAACTCCAGTCCGGCAAAGCTGTCTTGGGAAACGTGCATGATTTGGTTGGAGGAAAGATCTAAATTGCGTAGGGAAGAGAGTGGCTTAAACACATTATCTGGCAGCTTAGTCAGCTTGTTCTGACTTAGATCTAGCATTTCCAGGTTATCCAGCCCAATAAAGTCCTCCTGGTACAGGGCCTCAATGCCATTCTGGAAGACATAGAGGTTTTTAGTTGCCATAGGCACTTCAGAAGGCATAGTTATAGCCCGCCGCTGAAAACAAAGAATGGTGTCTTGATTTGAACAAGTACAGTCTTTCGGGCAGTTTCTGGCCCATGCACAGGGTGGCAATAGGAGGAAGAGGAGCAGCAGCTGCAGCAGAGGGAGGAAGGGCTTCATGTTGCTGCTGACACTCACCCCTTAGAGCCTGAAACGAGAAATTCAAGATCATGTAAGAACATTTACTTAATGAATATTAAGCTGTACAAGCTCAGCCGAAGGAAAACAGGAAAGTGCAAAAGTGATCACTGAACTATACAAGCTGCATTATTTTCCAATAACGTGTGTATAAGGTATAATTATTACTATGTCATACACATTGTTTCATCAAATTTCATTGGGATCTCTACATTTTCCAGTCAGCATCCCTCTGTAAGTCAAAGTAAGCTGAGTTAAAGCAATATTAAAATGATATTGTACAATATGTTACTGTGTGTTGTTCTCTTCAGTAGCTGGAAGATCAGTTGTTTTACATGTTTTGATTATATGTCTCCACAAATTGTTAGATTCAGGAGCAAAGCTTGAGGGCAAAGATGGTGCCTGTTTCAGTTTATTTCACAATAAGCCAGCTCGAACTTAAACTTCTCATTACCAACCAGTGTGAAATACAAAATTGTTCATTTGAAAAAAGAAAAAATAACTATTATATACAACTTCAATAATTAACAAAAAATGAGCAAAATACCAGAGTTGGATATTTTTGAGTGGTGGACCACTCAGCCTAGCTGTGTCATTGATGTGTGCCAGATACCAGCATCATAAATGATATCTGGTTAATATTGGTCCTGTGGTCAGAAACTGACCAATGATGAAGGACGTAGAGGATGGGCAATAAATTATGCATGCCAACAGATGGTCTACAGTCTGTAACTGCTCCCCTATATAGTGGACCTATAAAGTAGGCGAAACTCATAAAGTGTCCAGTAAGTGGACGTACAAGGTAGGGGTTTCTGATAATGTGGATGGTAGGTAGAAATGCATAGGATTCATCTGTAATCCAAAAACAAGTTATGCGGCACAGCCATTTCAAGGGATGGGAATGAGAGATATCTGAAGAGGAGAAATGAAGAATCAGGAGAGAGAAGAAAATACAGGCCAGCTGAACTGGGTTAAGGAAACAGTTTATCATCCTCTAGTATGAGTTTAATCACAAGAGTTAGTGGCCTTGAGAAGAGGAGAGGAGATCTCCCTTTTTCTCTTTCTTTTTTTCTTTCAGAGATGATAAGGACAGTGTGAGTGTGTATGTGTGTGGGGGAGGTTCATATTTGAGGTTCACATTGAGGTGAAATTCTCTGTTTTATTGCACAGTAAAGAGAGAGACTGACATTGTTTTCCTCCTTTTAAAATCATGCCATGGAGGCAAAATAGACTGACTTCTGATTAATTTACTGGTGTTTTTTGTCTTCTCTTTTATCTTGTCAAACACATTAATCTAGAAGAAAAATATAGATACTAAACTACTAAACAGAATGGTCTAAGAGCTATCTGTGAGGTCACTGAAATACTTTGAAAGAATAGAGAACCTGGTTTGTACTCCTCAAAATTCTGTTCTTTGGTGGATGACTAAGAGCTGAGAGCTGTTAAAAGACATGCATGTTCATAAAAATCTTTGCAACAGTAAGTAAAAGATTCCATCCCAGCAATATAGCTTTGTACCCTTTTTCTTTGTTTCTTTTCTTTTTCTTTTTCAAATCCTGAGGCCCATGTCGCACATTAAAAATACAATATTTATGCATTTTTTCACACAATGGTGCACGGTTCTCCTTTGCACAGATTGTAGTTTTGCTGGCTTTTCTCCTGAAAACATGTTAGTGATCTGTGAAAGACAGATATAACTAACTGCAAACCAATTGCAATAGGCAGACTAATCAGTACGATATTTGCCAGTGTGACTATCCACCTAGGTTGGAACTAGGTAGAACTAGCTTGTTCTATAGTCTTAAAATGATCTTTTCTTTATGAGGCATGATATACTTGGGTCTTTGTGTTGTCACTACTGCTAATTTGTCTTAATGAGTCATGAGTCATGTTCAGAAAGACAAATCACACTGCAGTTGTGATTCATAGCTCAGATGTCAGGAAGGAAGTTCATAAAGAAAAAGAGCAGGTTTGTACATTTTGTTTTGTGTCTTAGTAATAATTAGAAGAGTTTGTGATGTAACCTCCATCCTCAAAAAGCAGGTTTAGTTGCAAATTTAAAAATCAACAAACATTGTGACTGCCAAGCTGCTTGGCACAAGGTGGCTCAACGCTGTATGTGCACTTTTTCTTTGTCTTCTTTAATTTAATGATTCTTCTATTCATGGGCATATAAGAAATGCCTGAAATATCCTGAAGAGATCAAATAAGCAGGAAAGGGTCAGAAGGAGGCTAGTTCAAAGGGGCATGACAGATATAGTATTATGAACTCTTCTAAAATTGTTTTCTTCCCTCCTTTTGACCATGAATGCTCAAATCCTAGCCCTTAGAAGGTCTGAGATAGTAACAATCTGGAGTAGTTCTAATTAGGATTCATGTCTGACACATTCTGAATGGAACAATGTTTATCACCACTATCTTACAACTTTTTGGAGTCAGGGCAAGAAATATCAGTCTCTGTGGCCAAATTGCAAAATGCCAGAGTATTATGCTATCATAGGCATTCTAATTAAATGACTCAGACCAAAGAGAAATTGGTGATCTGTGGGCATTGGTGACACATGCATGTTCATAAAAAAAAAGCACAGGCGACCTACGTAGGAGTTTTATTGCAGGTACTACTGGAAAAGACACAACACATACAGATTTTGTAGATAACAAGAGTCATAGAACACAGCGTGTCACGGTCAGTTAGCTTTGTAGGGTCAGGGGTCATTGTTGTCCCATGGTTTAGCTGTCTGGGTACCGTGGGAATGTACTCAATGGAATTAATTTGACTTTGTTTCTTTGTAAAACCAACTGCATGCATGGCCATTTAAGAGTAGGACTTATGAATGAGCACTGTAGAATGCTACTTTAAGAGCTGTTGACACTATTCACAAGCACAAATTCAAGGTTAGGAATTCAAAACTGTACGATTGGGAAGAAGGACAATGCTTTTGAAATGGGCCACAGTGAAAAGGCAAAGAAAGTGTGAGGGGAAAAAAGGCAGGACAAGGGACGAAAAAAAAACAGGCTAAGCTCAGCTGAAGATAAACATGTAGGGAGCTCCTCCTTCAGCTAACCTTGATGCTGAAACAGCTTGACATGAGGCCAAATTATTTCATAAAAATAATAAGAAAAGGTGGAGGGAAGAGGAAAGGGGACATTAAGGAAAGGAGAAACAAATAGAAGCATTCTAGTTTTTTTTTTTTTTGTGATGCTTGACTTTGTAAGAACTCTGCTTGATCAGTAATAGTTCAGTGTATAGATGCATTTTGAATCTGCATCTCCCATCTGCCCCACTCTCTGATATCAGGAATTTAGAGGAAGCAGACATTGAAAGCAGGGTGTAGCACATAGCAGGTCATTAGAACCAGTTGAGTACAAACTGGATCAAGGGAAATTACCTTAGCCCAGACAGGGATGTATCTGGCTGAAGACAGGCAATGGAACTGAGGAAGAGCATTTAAGGAAGGTTACAAAGTATTTTTGAAAACTATTTTTATTTTTTACTCTTCCACCATTTCATTTTCTTTTGTTTAGGTGCATGCTGTAATTCTCAAAGTAACAACAAAGATATCTAGCTAGTATCATAAGTATTATAAATGTGATTTTGAAAAATAATTTAATTGAATGTTTATACTAATGCAGATGTACATAGTTCAGGGATACATCTCCGTGGACTTCCTCGCCATTATTGTGTATGCTTCCTCCTTTTTGTTTTATGTGTATACTCAAACTCTACTTGATTTATAAAGCAATTTTTAAAAAGTTCACTGATCTCAGTTCTGTTTAAATTCTTATTTTATTCAAACCACCACAGCAAAAATTATGGCAGAGACAAAATACAAGGTCTTCTGCAACCGGGCTAATTCCAGATAACCCCCTGCATTTCGCTGTATTTGATTCCTCTTTTCTCTTTCTCTATCTGGCAGACACTGTCTTATCATCCAGCAAATGGGAATCACCTCTCAGGGATTAGCACAAAGCTTTTTGTGCCAGTTGCGCTGAGTGACTTCTGACTGTGGGGATTTTAACTTAAATGCTTGTGCATTGCAGGCCAAAAGGACAGAGAGGAAGAAGCTAGAGATGACTTGTCAAGTCAAGGTGATGAGGCTGTGATTCGCTTCGGTTTGGCTTTGTAATTTCCTCCTGTCTCCCTCATAATGTCTTTGTTTAAACATTCTTGAGATGTGCAGCAGCTGAGTTTAAAGAGCTTCTCTTAATAATACATTCTCATAAGAGCAGGGGGACCTTTTCAGGGCAGCTTCTGGATTTTAGCAGACTAATGACAAACTGGAGAGTGAATGCCTTGCTGTATTTGCCTATACATCATAAAGCTCTTGTTATAACATTTGGGCCTCTGTGTAGCTCTGGATGAATTATCCATATCATTAGGAGAGATGTATTTAGCATTGAAACTGAACTGTTGTTTTAAATAACTGACTGTGATGGTACAGGAACATTCTAGTGTGATGCCTTTAGCAGTGCAACTCGTGGAAAGTACAAAAGAAAGAAAACTAAGAGGAGCTGTGAAAGGATTTTTTCTGCTCTCCCTCGTTGGCATCCTTTTCTAAACCTGAGGAAAAAACAAGTGTGAGGGAATGGAGGGAGTAAGAACAGAAGAGCTTCTTCAGCAACAGAGGAGACAGACAAATCCAGGAGTTGAGCGAGTGAAGACGGGCACAGCAATTAGAGCTTCGTAAGGCCCACATTAACAGTCCTTATCTTCAGCAGGAGGTCTGAGTGGGATGTGGAGGCAGATGGGGGTTTCCACTGTGTGGTGTGGAAGGTGAAGGGAAGTGGGGGATGTATGAGGGAACTAAGCCAAACCTACTATGAAGGTGTAGAAGTGAGCGAACAGAGCACACTCCAAATTATGAGTGTCTTAGTCAGAGGGCATCTCATCTCTCAAAAGAAAAATGTATGCACTTCTGTAATATTCTAAAAAAACTGAAAACTGTGTATCACAGCATGCTTTACACACTTTTCACACTTTACAACATTCAAAACCTCACATCAGCTATG